AACAGACAAGGGTTCCTAGGAGACCTCGTAAACCCCTCATGTTGCTGAGGATTGGGAGAACCCCTGAGGTCCAGGGAAGGAATTACCCCCAGTGACAATCAGCCAGCTGGTTCTGAAGGCAGCCATCCCAGTGATTAACAGCTCCAATGCCTTCCATTAGCATCGATTTGACTCCCCTGGTCTCCAACAACAAACCGTTAATAAGAGTAATTTCTGCTGAAGCAAGAGCTAATTGAATGCAACACGTGCAAATCTATAGGGCACCTTGTTTTCCTGCAGGCTGAGTGCCCCGCGCAGCTGCAGTGCTGGGAAATCGGGATGTCGCCTGCTTGGAGCCAGCAGCTTCTGAGGGAGGGGAAGCCGCAGCCGCTGCCAGAGCTTGGAGCTTGGCTGGGATGAGCTGGCACGGGGCTGGGAGATGTGTCACGGAGTTAAATAGAGACATGGGACATGCACCAAAGTGGAAGCAGAGCTGTCTCTAGGAAGCAAAGACATGCATGAATGTGGGACTTCACGGGCTCCTGGGAAGAGCATGCAGTGTCCAGAGAAGGGAATCTCCCTGGTACAGAGGGACACATGCCTATGCATAAGTGTCTTCCTGGATCAAAACCTAACAAATCAGATTTAATTCAGGGGGAATCATCAAACTGCAAGCTTCATAGTGAAAAGGTCAGGATAGGTTGCTGACACAGGGTTAAGGGAGCCCAGCACTGCCTGGCACTGATGTGGTGCAGAGCTGGCACTGCTCACCAGGATGGATGCTGCCTGGGGACAGGACTGGTCTCTGAATCCCTGCACCAATGGGACACAACCCAAGTGCCACCTCACCTCCAGTCCAGGGTGACCTGAGCAGTGGGAACCCCACAGGCTGCAGCTCATGTGATCTTCCACCACCTCTTCTGCAAGCAGAGGAGCACTTGGAAAGACCCCATTTTGGCACACAGGGATGGCCAAGTAGCAGCTCCACATAGAATCATAGAATCTTAAAGGTTGGAAAAGGCCATTAAGATCATCTGGTCCAGCCATCAGCCCATCACCACCGTACCACTGAGCCACATCTCTCAGTGAGATATCTACTGTTTTGAAACACCTCCAGGGATGCTGACTCCACCACCTCCCTGACCAACAACCCAGCAGCTGCCGTCCTGGGATCAAAGTGCTTCTGAACCCCAACCCAGATGGGAGCGGTACCACTCACAAGACTGCATTGGCTGCGCCATCACACACCCGGCACCTGCAGCAGGACACAGCAGGACTTCAGCTTTAGATGCTGCTCTGAGCCCAAAGCCTCAGCAGGGCCCCTTCTTCCTCCCTCTGAGAACGGCCTCCTGCTGCCACGAGCTGCTCTCCCTGGATGCTGTCCCAAAAAGCCATTCCCCCTCGTCACCCCTCCAATTTGCTTTCAAAAATTGGAAGAAAAAAAAAAAGTGTCTGCAGAGGTCTGAATGATTTCCTCTTCCTTCCCACAGCCCACAGGTTTGGTTCTGCCGAGATCCAAACCCCCACGCTGTGGCCTCTGCGGCTTTGGAGCGGCCGGCGAGGACCCTTGGGGTGGCACCACGGCTCCTTCTCATTACAATGGTGAAACGCCGCAGAGACAGCGGCTGAAATTCAAGTGCTATTCAAACAAACGGAGATGTGGGGAATAGTTCATACCGAGCGAGTTCAGACAAGGAAAATCGGAACAGCCAGGCAGCTCAATGCGAACCAGATTTTAAAAACAAAAACAAAACCCCGAGCCCTTCCTTCAGGAAGCTCTCACCGAATTCTTTCCCCTGCTGAGAAGTTCAGCATCACGCCTCGCGCTAAGCCTCTGCATTTCACTCCAAGGAAGGGCTTGAGAGAAAGGAAAGCAGCACATTGTGGAGTGCAGCCTGGCTCGCCGCCAGGGCCAAGGGGAGTGCAGCCCAGGAGCCCTCTGGTTGAGCAGCACATTTTGCTCCCTCGCAATGGCAGAACAAGCTTTTGCAAAGCCTCGGCATCGCTGCGGAGACTCGGCTTCCCTAAGGCGAATCAGTCAATTGGTTCAGCAGCATACTTAAAATCCCCCAGAGCCTACCCTGAAATCACCTTTCTACTTCCCTACCCAAAGCTAACAGTTTCTACCTGCATTTCGCTTCAGCTCCGTGGAAAAACAAGCTCTTTAGCAGTCACATCAATAATCCGCAGCGATCTGCTTGTCGTTTCCCTGATGGAAAATTTCACACCGCTGCCCAGCAGCAGCGACGCGCTGAGCGCTGCCTCTGCTCGGACCTCTGCCTTCCTCCCATGGCAGAGGCACAGCCGGCGGCACGGGGGGCTGCACAGCCTGCCCACAGCACATGGCTGCGCCCTGCCAGCTGCACCCCGTGCTCACACGCACACCGGAGCCACGTGGAAGCGGCCCCATGCCGGGTGATGCAGTCAGCCAGGGTGCTGCCCAGCGGTGCCTGAAGGAGCTTGGAGGAAACCCAGCCCCGGGGGAAATGGCCGCTGCAATGATGTTATTGTAGGTGGTGATCTGTAGAGGCGAGGTTTGGGATCGGAGGTTCTGAGGAGGGGGGGGGTGAAGCCCTGGGATGAGGACCAGGGTGCTCATCTTGGCCCGGATGACTGATGGAAGAACACAAGCAAACAGCAGGAGCAGGTGGGAGCAGTGTTCCCAACACCCCCTGGTTCCTATCAATTTCAGTATGCTTTCAGGCTGTCGCTGTTTTCCTAAATATCCCAGCTGACCATCTTTGGGAGGTGTCAGCTACACAAGTGGCTGCGAGGGCTGTCCCAGCCTTCCAGGGCCCTTCTGGATGTGAAGGCGGGATGCAAAGCCTCCAGAGGAGCTCACTTCTCCCCCCTGGCTGTGGTGGGGACCTCAGCCGACCAGCACCAGGATGCTCTGCCGGTCCCAGAACTGCTGGATCCTACCCAACACTGCTGGGATCCCACAGAACCAGCCCATCCCAGCCCATCCCAGCCCATCCCAGCCCATCCCACCCTTCTCGCAGCACACAGCTGCTGGAGTATCCTCTCTCCTCCAAGCACTGTGCTGGTGAGAAATGTCCTGAAAGAATTTATCCTAATATAGCTTGGTGTGCCCAGGGCTGCCTTGCGTAGAAAACAAACAAAACAAAACAGAAAAGGTAAATATTCATCAAATAAGCAGAGAGATTAATATAGAAATTCACAGAGTCAAGTAGCCTTTGAGCTCCATCACCTCTCTGCAAACAATCACCCAATGAAGATAAATTTGGTGAGGCTGATACCTGCACATTTAGGAAGGTCTCTTATAAAAGAAAAATCTCATGTTTCAGTGTTTATCATCCCCGCAGAAAGGCCTGGCCCAGCATTTCTCCACTCCAATTCCTGCTCTCATAACTGTCAGATTATGAAACTGCAGACTATAAGCTTCTCAAGTTAACAGAAAAACACCTCTCTGTTCTCTGCCGCCACTCTAAGCAGATGAACTAATAAAAACAGGCTCAGCTATGCACTCTGAGTGCCTGGGAGAAAGGAATCTGGAACAGTAGTAGCTTCAAAATACTGTCAGAGAAAGCAACCACCCACAGGATCTGGTGTCCCCCACGCACATCCGCTTCCTTCACCTTGTTACCAGAGAACCACCACAAAAATCTGCCTTTTGCCATCTACCTGCCTGCCAGGGCACGCTGCTGGTGGGGCAAAGGCCAGGATTTTCTCCAAGACAAAGAATTAAGGACATGCATTGTTGCCCTTGAGGCAACAAGCCAGGAGCCTAACCACTCCATCCATCCATCCCTCCAAGCACTCATCCATCCACCTATCTACCTACCCACCCATCCATCCCATCCCAACCATCCATCCATCCCAGCAGGACGGTTCCCATGAGCACAGCAGTAGCCTGCAGCAGCACCTCCTGAAATGCTGAACGGGCGACCAGCCTTGGCCTCCCACCGCTGGACAATCCCAGCACAGCAGACCTGCTGTCACTTTCCATGCGCTCAGAGGAGAAATACAAACTGCTATCAGTTTCTGTACGCTGTCTCCCTGCAGGTTCCCAGGAGATGAGCTTCATTACTAAACAAACTCATGGAAGGTTCCCCTGCAGCTCTGAGCATCCCTGTGATGAGTGGCTCCCTACCTGTGGGACTACAGGAGCACAGCTGCTAATGCATGCTGAAAACAAAGGTTAGCCAGCCAGACTGCATTAGGACGTCACGGGGAAGGCGCTGGTTTGAAGGGACACATTTAGCACATCCGAGTCTCCCTGGCGTTCAGGCACTGATGCATTAATGCCATAGGAGGACACAGGATTTGGAGCAACTCTGCAGCCACCACCGCCAGCACTGTGGGCAGGGAGGGGACGTCTCCACATGCAGCAAGTGCAGAATGTGCCAGAAGAGGGAATAAACAACGGTGACTCGAGACGCAGGGGGTTCCCAGAAGGGGCTGGCATGGAACAGGGATGGCTGTGGCAGGGACAGCCCCAGCACTCCAAGCAGCTGCTGGGGCCAAGCACCAGCATGTGTGCAGCGGGGCTGTGCAGCATCACAGCACCCAGGGTCGTGGCTTCCCCAGCACAAGGCACACACCTGCAGGAACCAGCCCAGCCCGTGCAGCGTCCGTGGGGCTCAGGGTAGGGGAGCAAAGCATCCATGCATGCAGCCACAAAAGGGACCAGATGGCGCCTTCTGGGAGCAGAGCTTGTCATCCCTATGGAGACACTCCAGAGTGGCAACCTCTTTTCTTAATGACAATATACAGGGAAAAGCTCGGCAGGAGCGCAGCCGCCTCTTGCCTGCAAGGACTGCGCTAATAGAGTGGAGGAACAGCCTGCGATGAGTCTATTTTGGATTCATCACACTGCTGCTGGAGCGCTCACCAGGGAGCTGAAGGCATTTGTCACTTCCTCCCCCAGGATTCAATAGACCTTCTGTCCGCGGCTGCACTGACCCCAGCTGCCGCGTGGCTGCGGTGCCAGCACGGAGCCGAGCATCCCTGGGACGTGGGATGAAGGATGCAGGATGGGGAGAGGGCAGCCAGCTCACCTGCTCGTGGTACTCGATGCCCATGCTGAGCGTGTTGATGAGGATGGCCACCATGATTCCACGGCCGAAATATTTGCTGTCCACGATTTTGCGGAAGGTCTCGCACACCACACGCCAGAAGGCCAGCACCCGGCTGCTGCTCCTGGCCCAGGCTCGGCCGCGCTGTGGGTCCCGCTGGTCGCTGTAGTGGGCATCCTGTGTGAACTCATACACACCCTCGCTGTCTGAGTCTGTCTCGTTGTCTGTCTGCTCGGCCTCGTTGGCCAATGCCTTCAGGCAGTAGGGGCAGCTCTCGGGGCTGCGGGAGCTGCCGTCCAGCTTGGTGCAGGGGCTGGCAATCTTGCAGGAGCTTGGGCAGGGACCTGCAATGCCAACGTTTAGGAGAGGGCAGCCCATTAGCCAGGACAGGAGCAATTCCCTATGCACGGTGACAGCAAAATGTTGTGCTCAGTACAACGGTCCATGAGAGAACTGCAGAAAGCAATCATCTCCCACAGCCCTGGCACACGGTACTGCAATTAGCAGAAGCTTTGCCACTAGCAGAACTCCCTTCCTGCTCCCACTGGTTGCAGATGCTCCAAAATTCCCAGCTTCCCCCCACTCCCAGCTGCCAGGTGGCTCCTGGGATGACGGCAGCAGTGGGATTTTCTCCCCGGCACCAGCTGCAGAAATCCATGCAGCAGCACCAATGCAAACACAGAGCTGCAGCAGCTCAGAGCCCAGACCTGAGGATGGGCTCTGGGATGATGAGATGTGGCTTTCCCTGTACACATCCTGCCTGGAAAGGCCAAATCCTGCAGTGCTCAAGGTCACAGTGGTGGCTGGGGAAAGCCTGGCCTGGAAACCCTTCTTGGAGGCTAAATGCATTTGAGCTCATTTGGCTCATGCTCAGAAAGCTCAAGATGTGGAAGGGGAATGAGCACCTTGCAGGAAAGGTGTCAAACCCCGGCTTTGGGAAAGCTGCACTTCGTTCCTGATGCCACTTCAATCTTTCTGAGCTGAGGAGTGAAAGGATGTGGGGAACACAGGGATGTGGGGAGCAGACCCCTCTGATCACAGGAAAAACAGCATACTGGGAGGAGATTGGGAAGAGAAAGAGAATGGGTTCATTACAAACAATCATTTCCCTTGGATTGGTTGAAACCTCCCTCCTGGTTTGGGCTGAGATGCATTGGGTTGGTTGGAAGATTCCCATTGACCTCACCTCGAAATCCATCCCCTTTATCTGTAACGTGGACTGAAAGGAACCCTGAAAAGGTATAATGGAAAGAGAAAAGAATGAGGAGGGAGCTCCCATTTCTGCTCCACAGCCCCGTGCTGACCCCAGCCCCACACTCACCCGTGCTCTGCGTCTCCAGCAGCTTGTGCATGGTGCTGTAGGGCCCAGGCGGGATGTTCAGCCCACTCAGCGTGCTGCTGCCAGCCCCCGCTGCCGCCTCCCCCAGGCTCTTCTCCTTCCGCACCTCATGGGAGGTGCTGGGGTGCACGGTGGGGTACACCTTGCTGCCCATCACCGCGCTCCTGGGGATGTCCTCTGGGCTCGGCTGCGGGAGGGCCGCCCGGCAGCGCACCGGCTCCACGTGGCAGTCGGCGTGGTAGATGCTATGGACGGATTCAGTGCCGCTGGCCGTGGCGGCGGGAGCCACGTGGGGGTTTGGGGCCGATGGGGGAAGCATCAGCCGGTTGGTCCCGTTGTGGAGAGAGCCGGTGTCCACGTCGCTGATCTCCGGGCTGGCGCGGGGCGCCCGCAGGTTGCCATTGCCCAGGTGGTAGTGGTGGTGGTGGTGGTGGTGGTGGTGGATGAGGTGGTGCACCGAGGACTTCCTCCTCCTGGAGCGACGCTTGCCAGCGTGCCGCTCAGCCCCCGTTTTGCTGGCAGGGCTGGCCAGGAAGCCCATCCTCACGCCCGCCACTCGGTAGAGCTCCACCAGCTGCTTGCTGCCCTTCCGGGCGATGTACACCAGGTACTTGAGGAGCTCGTCGTAGCAGCTGCCCGGCTCCGAGAAGCTGGCCAGTGTGCTGGCGTTGGACAGGTAGCGCACCCGCTGCTCCTTCATCAGCTGGCTCTCGCGCTGCTTCGTCTCGGAGAACTGCGTGGCTATCACCACCAGGCAGAGGTTGATCATGAAGAAGGAGCCCACCTACGGGGATGGGAGCCATCAGCCCCGGCCACCCCCACCCCGCAGCCCTGCCTGGTCCCAAGTCACCAGGAACACGGACCCCAGTAAGGGCCCCGACCCCCAGGACTCTCACGCCAGGACTCCGCGGAGGACATCAGAGATCAAAGGCAGGAGGAGATTATTTTGACAAAAAGCTTTTGCTCTTTTAAGAGAGTGTTTTTCTCTCTCCGCAGACGGCAGTTGTAATTATTGCAATTAGTGGCATTACGATGAATGTGCTGAGCCTTCCTGATAGGAGCGTTTTTTCTGGCAGCGTGTGGGTAGCTTGTGAGCAGATCCCTTTCCCCTGCTAACGGGATTTGCAGGTTACTGTTATGCAAGGGGCTTCAGCAGGCTGCATCCAGAGCTCGGAGATCCCAGTTCCAGGCTGGCTCCCACCAGGTCCTGCTTTCTGCAGATGCCAGCCTGGACCGCAAAGCATTTCTGATGTACTAATGGGCTCTCACACACCACCACCATTACTGCTCAGCACCCAGGAAAGCAATGCTTCCCTTCCTCTCCGTCCTTATGGGAATGCAGAGAGTGAGGGGCTCCTTCATTTTGGGGTGAAGCTAACAGATGAACCACAAAAAGCGCTGTAGACAAAGCAGCCTTCTCATCAGGGTCTGATGAGGATCAGAAACCCCTCCAATGGCCCGATGGAGGTTCAGCTATTTTGCTGGATTTGGGCCAATTAGACAGGAAGAGAGGGACTCATCTCACTTATCTCAGCTTCACTCAGCACATCTGAGTGAGGCACCTAATGATCCTTTAGAGTTGGGAGAGAAATAGGCGCATCAAGTCTGCAATGCATCTTATTTTGAATGTCTACCTTAGGAGCAGATGAATCACCTCCTAAAGCACCTATTTTTCTCTCCTGATGCTGAAGGGAGTCTAGACAACAAGCTCCCCATCACAGCAGACATTGCTGTTCGCAGCCCATCACAGAGCCCACCCCCCAGAGCTCTTTGCAGGCTCTGCTGTGGATGGGTGCAGTGACACTGTGCTGTGGGTGCGCTGTGGGCAGAATCCTTTCCTCCTTTCTCAGCCTGTGCTCTGATGTTTGGGGCTGCCTCTCCTAAATGTCCCTTCTGCGCCTGTTGGGCTTCTTGGATATGGGGGAGCTCCTGGCCAACCTCCCCCCTTCCAGATCTGAAAACAGGATGGGGGGAATTTGTCTATTTTAAACTTAAATTCAAGGAGGCAACTATGGGGTTGGGAGCGTGGAGGACAAAGAGAGAGGTGTTAGAAGCAACAGCAAGTGTATCTACCAGAGTTTAAGAGCATCTTTCCTTCATGTTTTCTACCTCTCCCACGTGAGAGCAGCCTTTACATTCACTGTGCTCTCTGCCTGCCCCTCCGGGCCACTCCACAACTGCACGTCCCCACGAGGCCACTCACGATGATCAGCAGGATGAAGTAGATGAAGTTGTAGAAGGAGTGTGCATCCATGACGAAGTACATGATGTCCACCCAGCCCTCCAGTGTGATGACCTGGTGAGGCAGAGGGGGAAGACAAACCCATCACAGCTGATCACAACCCCAAGGGAGCAGGCAATGGCATTGCTGGACCCATAGCTGGTCCCAGAGCAGTGCCAGACACCGAGGAACCAAAAACCTCTCCCATTCAGACCAATCCCGTGTTGCAAGGGCTGCGTTCAGCCCTTCTTTTCCAGGTGGACTTAAAGACAACTACAGCACAGTGCAGACAGAAGAGCACAGTCCTCCTGCACCCACAGCTCTAGGACCAAGCTTTTATCCACGGAGGCATCTGAGCAAGCACCACGTCGTCTCCCTGCCATTTCCAGCACATTTACACTACTACTTTACATGTACAGCCTCAGCAGTGTGGTCACACAGCCCCATAACACGTGGGGAGGAACAACCCCTGCCCCACAGGACGGTTTCCATGCCAGCTCACCTGAAATATTGCAATCCAGGCATAGCCGATGTTATCAAAGTTGATAGCGCCCTTGAAGGGGTTGTGCTCCCCGGCAGAGCAGTTGGTGTAATACTGGTTCCAGTTGACACAGGACGTGTTGGTGGTGTCGTTGTAGGCGTAGTAATCCAGGGTGCACTCCAGGCCCTCCTCCCTGCGCGTCGGGATGCTCCGGCAGTAGCGCATCCCATTCTCGCGGGGTTGGGAGCAGATGAAGGGGTTCTCATCCTCATTCTCGGTCTGGTAGTACCGCTCCAGATCCACTGTGTAGGGGCTGCAAGTGGACAGAAGGGCTGAGGTGTGTACAGCGGGTGCAGGCAGCCTGGCGTGGTGACAGCGGTACATTCCAACGGCTTTTATTCTGCACTTTGAAGGGCTGGTGTTGTGGAGATTCCTTACATCTGGAAGTGCTGTGCTGTGACTGGGGGCACTGAGAGCAGGGCTTAGCCCAGCAGGGCTGCTCTGAAACATCCCTGCTGCATTAACGTGGGAATCAGTCACCATAAGCTCCTGTATCTCCCATCCTCCTGGAGATGCTGAGCACAGCGTGAGGACATCCACATGCAAGGACCTCCCAGGTTCCTAAAGCAGTGCCTTCCCAGTGCCTGTTCAGCCATAGGTAAGCTGTAAATTCCCTCCAAGGGTGGCCTCACCATAGCAAGCATGGCAAAAACCCTTTAGGGATATGGAATAACCCACAGCTGGCCCAAAGCTTGCTGCCTGCCGAGCAAGGATCCATCTCCTTAATGCCACCAGGACTCCCACTAAAGCTTGCAAAGACACTTTGAAGCCTGGTTCAGCCCCGTTAATTCCTGCAGAATTGCCTTTAATGCTGTTCAAAGCTCATCTAAACCCCTGGAATTCTGGCTCAATTAACCAGCACCCAAACCCATCACTTAGTTGTAGTTATTCAAAGAGCAGAGCCACTCAGATTTGCTGCTGTTTGCTTTGCAGGACATGACTCTCTTGGCTGCCCTGAGAGGGCACAGCCTGCAAGAGGGCTGCTGCTCATTTCGGGGATGCACGGAGAGGATAAGAGGTGCCCCATGCCAGCTTCAGGCCCTGCTGTGTGCAAGGCAGAGATTTGGGGTTTATAGGGTCGGCTCTGAGGAGCACGTTTGGAGCAATGCACTCACACTGAGCAGCTTTGCTAAATGTATGACCAGCTCCATCAGCCTCCCCGAGGGTGTCGGTGAGACAGCAAATGCCACACCAACAAACACCACCAGCTGCTGAGCAGGGTTCAGATCTCAGCGCCTTGACAAATGCAGAAAAGGTCACAGTTAATGATATGCTGCATTTACAGAGCCTGAGCTCTTTGTCCTGGCGGTCCTTCGGAGGCTCTTATCAATCACACAGCTTCCCCAGCACCGGCCAAGGGCTAAGGGCAGCTCGGCAGGACACAAATGGCAAATTGTCACAGCAAGCTGTGCTGGGGACGCGGTGGCATTTGGGAGCGGGGAGCACGCAGGAGGATGGGCTTATCGATGGACGATGCCACGGACTCACATGCTGAAGTTCTCAGGGAGGAAGCAGCGATTCCTGAGCAATCCTGCCCACAGCTGGACCCCCACGATGCCGAAGATGAAGAAGACGAAGAAGCAGAGCAGGAGGACGTTCCCCAGCATGGGCAGCGTGTCCAGCAGCAGCGTCACCAGGATGCGCATACCTGCGGCGAAGGGAGCGGTCATCCAAGAGGGACATCCCCTGTTCCACCCACGGCCCCTGCTCTCCTCGCCCTCTCCACCGCAGTCCCTGCGGTCCCAAACCCCACCGAAGCCCCCACCCCTCCCAGCCCCACTCCTGGGCATCCAACCTACCTCCCCCTCTCTCTCCTACCCTTCATCTCCTGCCCCAGGTTCTCTTTCCCTCCGGAAGTTTCCGCCAATTGCCGATTTCCCCAGATCCCATTCTGACATGCCCTTGCTCGTCTGCATTTCTTTCCACATTTGGGATATATTAAAATTCCCTTCCTAATTCCCCTCATCCACGCTAAATCCCCTCTCTTCCTCAAAACACGAGCAGTTTATTCTCACAAGTTCAGGAACAGCCAGTTCTGTAGCAAAGACAAATTGATGGTGACTCCGACTTGACATTTACACACAAAAAAATTGATTTCATCTGACATCTCTGTAATATTCAGCTCATCTCTCTCCTTCTTTCCCATCTTCTGCATTCTCTCACTCACTAATATTGATTCTCATTTAAGGAAAGTCTCACTGTTGCACCCTTTGCTTTGATACTTCAGACTTTTTCCTCGCTTCCTGCTGCTGTCATCTCCTCTATCACGTTTCCCTTCTCCTTCTCTACTGGGGAGCAACCACCACACGCAGCTCCTAATTAACTGAAACGACTTTCTGTGGTTACTGCATTTATCATCATATAAGACTCTCTTCCCCCTGCTCCCACCTTATACTTCTATCCCTTCGCAGCAGCACAGAAGCCAAGACAGACTGCCTGGGATGTGAAAATGCATTAAGTGCATTACATCCCCAGTTAGACAGTGGCAGATGATTCAGCCATCCATCAGCGCAGCAGCTGGGAGAAAACATTGCTATCAGGAGTCTGGAGGTGCTGCACTGATTGAAAGAGCAGCAGAATCTGGGTTAAGCCACGAGTCAGGGCCAGAGAAAGAAATGGAGTGCTGGCACCTCCAGTATGGAGGGACAGAAATGACACCAATCTGCTCTCATCTATGCACGGGGTGAGTTCAGGGAACCTCAGTTCATAGAGTCATAGGATGGTCTGAATTGGGAGCACCTCTAAAGCCACCTGGTTCCACTCCCTGCAATGAACAGGGACACCCCCAGCTCCAGCAGCCCCGTTCTCAGGACAGAAAAGAGATCATTTCTAGAGGGCAAGCATTTAGAATCACAGACCATCCGCAGTTGGAGGGACAGGGAGCTGATACAGCTACAACAGAAGGTTGGAAGCATCCGTGTCTGTTCTTCCACCCGCAGGGTGTAGATACAAAGAGTTTGCATCCCCGGAGGAGCAAAGCCCAACTTACTGGGGACTCTGTTAATGGCCCGGAGCGGCCGCAGGACGCGGACAGTGCGCACCGCTGAGAAGCTGACGTTCTGCAGGTCCAGCGAGTACTCCAACATCCTGCAAAGCACAGCGGGGTGGTCAGAGGGAGCAGCACAAGCATCATCACCCCAGCACCGTGTGCCTGCTCCTCACTGAGGGCTTTGCTCCCATCGGGAAAGTGTGCCAGAGGAATTAATTAAGGGTTATCTGCGTATCAGGATAAAGTCAATGAGTGAGGACGCCCCACACCAGCTCACACAGGTGCAGTGTTCTCCTCTCCCTCCCACTCTGCTTGCTTTTGCACAGGATCCAGGACAGAAACTCTCTGCACACTCACTGCAGAGCTTACAACGACTGCTTGTTTGCAGTGCACAGCTCAGGACACCACAGCATGACTCTGCCCAGGGCTGCCTGCTGCTGCACACCATCCCTATGCTCATAGCCAGCCGTGCCCCATCCCTGCAACACCAGGATCCCACAGAGCCCCCCAGGAGCTGTGCAGAGAACACTGCAATGAGGTGCAGCCAGGAACACACAGCAGCACATGGGCTCCTGCTGCCCAGGCAGTCACAGGACACTCATCCAATCCCAAAATTATCAAGTTCCAGTTCCAAGATGGTTGGGTGGTTCCCTCCCTCCAGTTTTGATGTTCAGAGCCTCATTTCAGCCTCAGAGTATTCAGGATGAGCCTACACGTTAGCTCTTACACAGCAGTGCCTTCTCAGCTGCTGCTACAGCTGCTCTTTGTGGCTGGTGTTTGCCCATCCCATGCATCGATGCAGCACACCTCTCGTCCTGCATTTCGCACAGCCAGACAGGCGCAGCTCCCTCAGCCCCATGGCACAGGATCCCCTGCCCACAGGGCACAGCCATGCACAGGAGGGACCAACTCTGTCCCGGTATCCAGGCAGGGGACGTGGGGATGTCACTGCGCCGTGAGGTGACAGGTGCAGTTACCAGCACATCACATCCCCGCTCGGAAAATCCGCCGTGCAGAAAGCCCAAATGTCATCTCTGCTCCAGTGTGACGGCACAGTCACAGCTCCACACAGACAAGTGCCCGGGGAAACTCAAGGTGCAGAAAAATGCTTGGTGCTCAATAGAAACAGCTCCGTACCAAGTGCTGAGCCTCAGCTGCCGGAGTGTCTCAGAGAGAAAGCAGAGCATTTAGGACTTCTGAAGAACACAAAGAGCATCTGCACAGCCAGACACACCCGGAGTGCTGATGCTCTAAGGCACCGGTGGAACCTTTGTGCTGCTCCCAGAGGGAAGGCTCCAGGGACAGACAGACGGACATACAGACAGATAGGCAGACAAGTTGTACGAGGGACAACTCATTGCTGCCCTGCTCGGGGACAGCTCTGGGCTTCCTCTCATTTAGAGGAGATGCAGAGGGCTCTGAGCTGCCCCCCAGCTGGGATGGGACACAGCTGGGCACAGGAGCCAGGTGACAAGAGCTGGTGACAGCCACTGCACACACCGAGCTCCACAGCACAGCATCCCCAGAGCGGGCAGAGAGCCGCTGCTATCTACAAAGCACAGTGATCGGTGGGCAATATTAACCCATGGAAAAGACAGAGGGAAATGTTTTGTGGTGTCACACCTTCAAAAAGCCACGGGGACATTTTCTTCTGGCCTGCACAGGCACTGCTTTTTGAGCCTGGCTGAGGGCTGTCTTCAGACAACAGAGGATGGAGCTGAGCTCTGTGCCATGGCCACAGCTCAGGCTGCTCCTGCCTGCCAGTGCTGAGGTCAGAGCTGCAGAGCTGCAGGCAGAGCACAGCTCGAGGCTGCGCTGCAGGTGATGGGTGTGCAAACAGAGTGGGGATGGAAAAGCAAAAACCTGGTCACGTCTCCTTAGCAGGCTTCTACAGGAGCTCCTACAGACAAACAGCCCCTGCTTCACCATCACGCCTTTCTCTTGTCATCGCTTTTCGGCAGTTCAAGAGGCTGTGAACAACTGCTCTCAGGGACAAAGCATGGGAAGAGAAAACTGAAATCCCACTCTGAGCACCTTGAGAACTCACTGAGAACAGCAGCCACTGCCCCCCAACCAGACCGCAGCGCTGCTCCCACAGGAGCAGGTCAAACATCCCACCTGTCCTGTGCGTTGGTCGCTCTCTCTTCTTGTGTTTTCATTAGAAACAAACATAAAGGAGTAAGTTTTGTTCCTGATGTGCATTAACTACAGCACATCTTTTACATATGGCCTGAGAGAGCTCCTCTGTGCTCAGCGCAGCCCAGGCCAGGCACTGTGCTGTGCTCTGCAGTGCGGGCAATGCGAGGCAGAGCGGGCAGGAAGCACTGCAGACCAAACCAGAAGCATTTGGGGCAGCAATGGGAGAAAGAAGAGATGTCTGCTCAGAAGAGGCTGCCAAGCCCTGCTTCTTCTCAGCTGTAAGCAAAGCATTTCAAGTGTTTAACTTGGGAAGAAAGTACCTTAAGAGGGCCATCCCCATTACAGCGAGTGCAGCACAAACAGACACTCCACCAAACAGTGCTGGAGCGCAGAGCTGCAGCAGAGCCACGCCGCTCTGACAGGGCATGGATGGAGCACAGCTCCAAGAGGTGATGAATGGAGCACAGCCCCCAACAAGCAGGAATGCAGAAATGCAGACACCAAACAGAGTCTGGTGACCTTCAGGTGCTCCTTGCAAATGCACACTCCTCAAACTCTCTCCTTCACCATAACAGAACATAACAGGGTGGTGTGCCACATTTTTTCCCCTTTTCCCCATAACCCACAGCCAAAACCACATTTTGCTGAGTTTTGATAACACAGCACTCTGCTCATCTGCAGCAAGTTTCCCTGTAATTACAGAGATATGGTGCAGACATCACACTCTCTGCAATTAGTTCTAATTGCATTACATTGTCACAAAGAAGTCATTTATTCTCCATGAGCTCATGAGATGGCTCTGGGCAGTTTAACAGAGCTGAACAGCACTCAGTGGCATAGCACTGCCAGCACTGCTCACCCAGCACCTCCTGGGCCAACATACAAGGAAAGGCTTCTGCACCACAGCCTCAACAGGGCCAGGAGCTCTCAAGGAGGAAGATGAAATGTCACCTTCTTCATTTTAAGTTTTTCCTTCTTTTTGGAAGCCAGTTGCACTCACCAGGGGTCTCTGCAGGAGCTCTGCCCACGATGAGAAAGCAATGCAGAAGTGGATCTGCTGCTTTGCCTCGTCTTATTTCCAGGATGCTTGGGGCTGGAGGAGATTTAGGGCAGGCTCTGATGGGCAAAGGACTGCCTGAAGCCTTCATGTAAGACCACAGTAAGGACTGCGCTCTCTTTACAGGGTTTCTGGCACTGGAACATCACTCTGGTGCACACCCTCCTCTACAGTTCAGCTCTGGAATATTCCCCAGTTCTCCCCCAAGGAACGGTCTGAGCACTGCTTCCCCTGACTTCACTTGGCTGGGACCTGACGCCCTCGGTCCTGTCCTTAAGGTGTCTTTTCCCATTCACACAGCTATCCCAGCACGCGGCACAGCGCCGACAGCGACGGCCCCCAGGGCAGCAGCGCGGCTGGGGCAGGAGGAGGGGGGAGGTGGGGCGGAGCAGTGGGAGCAGCAGCCTTCAGCCGTTCGATCCTCTGTCAGCTGAACTGCGCCTGGCAGGGCCCAGATGGGAACAGTCCACACACACAAAGCAAAGGCCGATCGTTTAGCGAGAGGCAGAGCTGACCAGGCAGGAAGCCAGAAAAAGAGATAAAGAAGAAACTGAAATCTCGTGGCCCCTGCAGCAGTGAGTCCCCAGGGAGGCACTGGGAGTCCCCACACCTCTGTACTGGTGGTACTGGGCTGTGCTGCAGTGTCCCCAGCTCCCAGCGAGGTGCTGCTGGGCCACAAGCAGACGTCTGCTGACACCCTCTGATGGGAAACGTTCCAGGGTGGGGGGACCCTTTCCAGGAAAATGCAGTCAATTTGATCCGCAGCTCGATCAAAAGGGGAAAATGCCAATTTCCCCACGGTAACTCTGGGCTCTCAGAGGAAGGAAGGCTGGTGAGCAGCTCCAGAGCCAAAGCAGCTCAGCGCCCTGGCTGCGGGCCAGGCACTTTTCATGTGGATTCCCAGACCCAGCCAGGAGGTTCTCGGCTGCTGGAGGAGCCCTAACTCAAACCAGGTGCCTCAGAAAGGAAACCGCTCCAACAGGCAAACTCGGTCTCTCTCCCTCAAAAACAACACGGAGGACAATCACGCACATCTCATTGAAGTAACCTTGCAGGAAGGCAGCTCTGTGCTTCAAACGAAATGCTGGCCTCCCTTGGGCAATCTGCACGGAACCCAAACCACGAGCATGGGACATGAGCAGGATGGAGATCGCTGCGGCTGCGGCTTGGTTGGCTCCTCCAACCGAGCGACTGCAGGGTGCCGGGATGGATGGGAAGTGCTGTGCCCATCCCCTGGCACTCACCCCCACATAGCAGCCACACTGCAGCCCCTGCCCCTCCGGCTCCAAAGGACGCGCTCGCCCGGCTCACCCTGCAATGACAATGAAGAAGTCCAGGCGGTTCCACGTGTCTCCCAGGTAGCATTTCTTCCCAAAGATCCCCAGCGCGATCATCTTGACTATCATCTCCACGGCGAAGAAGGCAAAGATGAAGTCATCAAAGCTCTGCAAAAGATACAGAGCAGGGATGAGGGGCAGCCGGCACAAACCCGAGTGCAGGCGCAGCGCTTGCACGGCGCAGCTCAGTACCTGCAGGATGCGGCAGCGCGGGGAGTCGCAGGCGATGTCCTCGCAGGGGTGGAACATGCCCAGCGTCACGCAGTTGAGCAGGATCACCAGCATGCTCACACGCTCAAACCAGCTGCGTGAGGGGTCAAGGAAGCGCAGCACCGGGCACCCGCATCCCTCAGCCCGGCACTCCGCACCGCAGTCCTGGTTTTATCCCCACTGTGATGGATAGGGAATGGCAGAGGGCGAAGCGCCCCGGGGTGCTGTGTGCCACCTGTGACACCCCAAAAACCACCCCCCCATTGGTGGCACAAGCACTAAGTGCCACACGTCTATCATAAAATGACTCAAACTTAAGCACACCTTCCCTTCTCCGATGCGTTTCCTTGCCCCTCCTGCCCTGCCCTCCGTTGGTACCTGGCGCGCAGAAGTTGCAATGCGCAGACAGGAGCAGTCAGTGCTGAACCAATGCCTGCTCCTCGCCTTCCCAGCAGGGTGCTGCCCACAGCCACGTTCCCTTGCTTTGCTATTTGGGATCCCGAATGCCAACTGATGGCTTATTTTCCCCACGGTGACAGCAGAGGCTACTGCAAATGTGGAAATGCTATAAAATCAGAGATGCGTGGCAGGAGTGCTGGCTGCTGATATGATGGATTAAAAAATTAAATTAAAAGAATGATATAAACTTTTCGGGGGGAAAAAAAAAAAAAAAAAAAAAAAACCAACCAGAACTAAATAAAAACCCACACCATTAATTTCTTCTCTTGACATTTTACAGAAAAGCACTTTAACAACATTACAATTTTCTATTAACTATGTCACAGCTTATCCCAGGGGCGTTCCCCTGAAGTCAGCCATTGAACCACTCATTCCCAGCCCAAATTAAGGCTGTCAAAGCCATTAAGCCAACAGGCGAGGGCCCCAGCAGCGCCCAGCCCTGCACTCGGAGCACAGCTGGGGCCGTGCCGCCGGGATGGGCTGCGTGCATCCCTGCTATCCTGGGCACAGCGACCTGCATTGCTGCAGAGCGAGTGCTGAGCACGTGCGTCCATCCAGACCACCAAGGGCAGCAAGATGTAGAAGCACAGAGCCCCAGAGCCCCGGCAGCCGGCACGGTGTGCCAGCAGGGAATTCCCAGCCCTGGGGCAGGGCTGGGTGCAGCAGAGGCACCTCGGCACACAGGAGCCCGCGCTGCCCAAGGGGTGAGGCCACAGGACGACCCCGTGCGAACTCCTGCGCAATCACACGGGGCTGAGTCACCGCCGGGTGCTGGCAATCTGGGTCGTTTAATCTGGAGGAATGTTTACAAGCTATTGGAAGAGAAATTCCGACTGCCAGGTTGCGGCGATGGGCCGGGATGTTTATCCCAAATATAGCCCTGCAGGGGCACCGCCACGGGCACGCAGGATGCTAAGGCAGCACTCCCGGCTCAGGGAGCTCAAAACGCATCCGCCAGCACCCCCAGCTCTGCCCAGCCTTCGAGAAAAGGAGGAATTAAAAACCCACCAAACAGCAAGATCCCAAATTGGTGACAGAATGAGAGAGCGTCTGACAAGGGCTGCGCGAGATGCTCGGCACGGAAGCGAGGAGGCTCAGCAGAGCCCACGGGGTCGGACGGGAGCCTGGAGAGCCAGACGGGCAGATGGAGCTCTGGCACGCCGCGTTCCTGCGGGGAGCTCAGCCCTCCTCGCGCGGCCACAGCCCGCATGTGAGCCCAGGGCAGTCCCACATCCACCGCTGTGCCACCCAGCCCGGCCCCAAACAAGCATCCCGGGCACACCGCCTGCGGAGCGTGCCGGGGCTCTAATTGCTGACGGCATTTATTTCTCCCAGCTTTGATGCAAAGGCACTTATCAGAACGTCACTGCCTCTGGCAAGTGCATTTCGGCCCAATATAACACTATCTCGTGATTTAATGACCCCAGGACGGGAGAGGGAAGGGAGAACAGGGCGAGTGTTAACGCGCAGCTGAGGGATCAGAAGGTTGGGGGATTTTTCGTTTTGTTTTTTTTTTGTGTGTGTGTGTGTGTTTTTTTTCCAGCTGAATGAAATGTTAAGCTCTTTCCTCTGCTAATGGGATTTCCAGAGCTGCACAAAGTGCTGATGGCTCCGGCTTTGTACCGCCGTTGTTTGAGCCCAGGGGCTGACAAAGCAAACTTCAATTAGCAGGAGGTGCCGTGCCGGATGCTGCACTGGCAGCAAGGGGGCAAAGCCCTGCGGGGACTTGGGCTGGGGAGCTCCGCATCGACAGCACCGGGCGATGGCTCTGGGCCACCACCTCACATCCCTGGGCCACCACCTCACATCCCTGGGCCACCACACCACGTTCCTGGGCCCCTCAGCCCCTCCAGGCGGTGCTCAGAAACGACCCACACCCCATACACACGATGCAGTCACTGCAGCCCTCTGCATGCCACAGGATGCCCGAGCCCCCACCCCAGGGTCACCCACCCCACCACCACACACCCAGAACCCCGCCGTTCCACCACGAGCAGCAGCGCTCTGCTTCTGCCACGATGACATAGCCAGCACTTTTACCGTCACTTCCCTCTTAAAATTTAGAACAACAAAAAGCATATGAGAATGTCAATGCCCAGAAGTCAATTTCTTGCTGGAACGGAACCTTCGCCCCCAGCAAATGCCCTCCAGCCCCGCGCTGCACCTGCACGGCACGGCCAAGCACAACCCTTGGTAATTAAGAGGCAAGAGCCTGAGATTCAATTAGCCGGAGCTCTCCTGCTTAATGTAATCAACGGAGGAAGATATTGCATTATGTTTGCTGTGATTTGGTTTGAAGTTGGGATTAAATTCTGCAGCAATGAATTAAAGGGCCTTGCTGGAGGGTGGCAGCCGCCTGCTCAGCTCAGGGACGGCGCCGGGCATCACCGTGCTCTGCATGGCCTATGGGGCACAGGAGGCTGTTGGACAAACGTGCAGAAAGCACGAATGAAGCCTGGAAAATTTTGTGCAAATGCAATGCGAGAACTGGGTTGAAATGTGACAGCCTTCCCCTGCAGTGCCACCGATCCCAACAGCTTAGGAGCGACACTGGGATAAGCTGCAGACGTTAATGAGAGCGAAGTTTGAGGCTTCATTCACATCATCAATTCCAGAAATAGAGCCTTTGACAAGAGCATAATGGGACTTCCAGGGCCCGGCCTTTGGGGGAGAGGCGAGCGGCAGCACTCAGATCCTAAAACATTAATTTGCCGTTTGTAAAGAACGCTCAAAGTGCTCGCAGAATTAATCTGCACCATGGGTGGAAATAAGAACCCATTCCCTGCTCCAAGTGCCCCACAGCAGGAGGAGGGCTGAGCATCGCGTCCCACGGGGCAGCCATAGGGTTGTGGTTTGGTGATGGACTCGTGGTTGGATGAGGGGATCTTAATGGTGCTTTTCAACCTCAGAGGGTCTACGATTCCTGCACAGCCCCGCACATTTTGTGGCACTTTGGTTCATTTTTTGAACACCATTCCACTCCAAAAAGCTGCAAAGTGCCCCCCAGTGCCACCAGCACCCAACACAGCACAGCACCATCCCCACCCCTGTGCAGGAAAGCAGGATTGCTTTAACAGGGGAATCATGGGGAAGAATCACCTCAATTGCCCTTTCAGTTCCCCTCGGCTGTGCAGCCCATGCTGCCGTGGGGCCGGGGGCCTCTCCTCACCTGGGATGGCACTGTGCTCCAGGCAGCACTGAGCAGTGCAGCCATGCAGGCAGTGGGGAGAGGAAGGATGCTGCTGTTAGAAGGGATGGAGTTTGGTGAAAAAGATATTTTGTCAAAGTAAAAAAAAAATAAAAAGAACAAAAAAAAAAAAGACAAGGCTCTAATTTCCCTCACTGTTTCAGAATTGTTCCTCCTTTGCCTTTTAGATTTGTATGTCAAGCTTCTCTCCAGTAACCAAAAGGGTTTAAAATCTTACTGCTTACAGAGGAGAAAATGAAGATAAAAGAGCGCAGCAAGCTGAGTGCCTTGCATAATCCCCAAACTTCGGGAGCCGGAGCTTTTAAGCACAGCCCTACATCTCCCCTCCATGAGCTGCCAGGGGGATGGCAGCTCAGGGGCTGGCACTGATATGGGGACTGTTTTGTTAGAAAACAAATTAATAGAATCAAATCTCTGGCCAGAGCCTCGCAGCGTGAATTCAGCCCTGCTCCTCCTCCTTACCCCATGGGCAAGGATGGGAAAGTCAAGCAGAAACACCCAACCTCGCTCCTCCTCCACTCCCATCGCTGTTTTGGCACCTTCTGGTGACAGCACGGGACAGGTGGCCCTCCCACAGCATGGACTGCGTGGACAGGAGCTGTGCAATCCCATTGGGAAGCCCTGAGGACCATTGAGCCATTGGGCACAGTGTTGGCTTGAACAGCAAATCAACACAAACACTTACAGCTCACACCGCGCACCAAAGCCACCCTTGTGCGCCACGGCTTAAGGCTTCTCCCAGCAGCCCTTAAGAAGTGCACAGCAGATGCACACAACCCCCAAATACACACATATTTAAGTGCACTGTCCCTTGGAAATGCCCTGAGCGCCCCTGAGAAATGCAGCATGCAGAGAGCGCCGGTGCTCACTTGGGAAAGATCCACAGCACAAAGCCCCATTGCTGCCCACTCGTAAAGCACGAGGCCACAAAGCAGAGCCGTCCCCACAGCAGGGCTCCCAAACAGCCACACTAGGATGCTTGGGGTACACCATTCCTGATCCAATTTGCTGCATTACCCAAGACAAAAAAACCGTTATGCAATGCTCCCTAAACAAGTCACGGTGAAACCTTTACAACATCCTACACCAACACATCGTTGGGATATGTCACATATTTGTCTTATTTTGTTCCTTCTTTGTCCTTTTTTTAGTCTCCTACTTTTTCCCCCTTGGAAGTACGCTGGTTCCCATGGAAACAATGATGTTATGGGTATGGACAGAGCTCCGGTGACGTCCACAGGTTGGGTATAAAAGTGGATTTATGTAACACTGAGGAATAACGGAGTGGCAGAGGGCTCTGTGTGGCCACACGTGTGGCACAGTGCTCCCATGTCGGGGACTCTGCTTGGTCGGCTGGGTTTGGCACCAACCAAGCAGGGAGGAACAAGAGGAGGAGATCTGGAAGGCAGGGGAAG